GGGAGGGAGGCAAGTTTGGAAGTAAAAATTCGAAGGAATATATAATGACAGACTTGTAAATCTAATTAAGTCTCTTGTTTCATCCTTTAAACTTGTCAAGTTGTCATCTTTTTCTGATTTTCCCCCTGGCTGCTTTTCCTCTTTACTATTCATTCATTTAGTTAGAGAATGATGTGTTGTCTTGGAGTATTAGTTTTTTGTTGTACTTGAGAACTATCCATTTATACATTTAAAGACCTGGGGAGAAGAGCCCTCATTTAGAATGTGTTCTTCACATTCAGAATGGTACTTTACACATAAGAGTTCAGCAAGTTTCTGTTTTATTCTTTTAGCTTTACTGAATTTGGTACCAAACAGGCACTTAGTTGCAATCATATGAGTACAAGATAGGAAATTACAACAAAGAGTGTTTTGTGTGTGCGTGGCATCTTTAAGTGGTGAGACATACTCACTAGTAGAGAAATGAATTAAGTCTTAGAACAGAAGGTCTTTCTGAACTTGAGTTTGATTCTGGACTTGAGAATTAAGGGAAGGGTTTTTTAAAACTAGTAAGGCTCTTTATGGTCAGGCTTGCAAGAATAAAGAGGTACATTTGAGAATTGTAAGAGACCCACATGGAGTAGGGATGCGTACAACTTAGGGACTTGGACGAAGGCAAGAGCAGAGGGTATAGAGATTTAGGTGGTGAAGTATTTGGTTTTGGTTAATGGGTTTTGGAGTCACGCTGATATTTCTGGATAGAGAACCACACTGAACTTCACGCTTTGAACTAGTCTTGAGGGTGCTGTGAGGGAGACTAGTTGGCATGGCTTCTTGTTTTTATAGATTACTGTTGTAAGCATGCTTGGATCAAGGGAGGCTGAAATTATTTCATGCTGTCTATAGTGCATTCTTTCACATGTTGCACACTTCGTCCTGTGTTTGAATTTCCCAGCATCTTCGAAAAACTTACTTTATTATCTCTTTGTGTATATATTGTATGTATGTAGGCACACATGTCATGCATGTGTACAGAGGTCAGAGAACAACTTTATGGAATCAATTCTCTCATTCCTCTTTCTGGGGTTACCAGGTCTATCTGTTCCTCTCCCCTACTGTCCTCTTTGTTAATGGTTGCAGTGAGGAGGGGCTTGGCTGAAGGTAAGTTTGTGTTAGAGATGGACCACATGCTTGAGACTTCCTTCCTTCCTTCCTTCCTTCCTTCCTTCCTTCCTTCCTTCCTTCCTTCCTTCCTTCCTTCCTTCCTTCCTTTCTTCCTTCCTTCCTTCCGATTTGGAGACAGGGTTTCTCTGTATTGCTTTGGAGATTGCCTGGAACTCACTCTGCTCTGTAGACCAGGCTGGCCTCGAACTCACAGAGCCACCTGCCTCTGCCTCCCGGCTGCTGGGACTAAAGGTGTGTGCCACCAATGCCAGGCTAGTTCATTCCATTTTGAGTAACAAACTTTTTGGATCAGTCTAAAACTAATCTACTGTTTGATTGGGTTTGTGCCCTTTTCATAAGTGTGCCTAGTATTTGAAAGTGATAATATTAATATAACCACTTTTCATGTGTATGCTCGTAGACTGTAGTTTGTGAATAGCTGCTGATTGCAGAACTTATGGGCCTGTTTTAACTCTATTAAAAGAGTTTCTGTTGCTTTCTTTTTTTTTTTTTTTCTGTGTTGGTGTTTTTGAGACAGGGTCTCTGTTTAGTCCTGTCTGTCTTGAAAGTCATAGAGATCTGCCTGCCTCTACTTCTCCACAGCTGGCATTAAAGACCACTATGTCCTGCGAGTTCCTTTTTCTTGTTGCTGCAGGTTATATTTTAATGTTGTTTTCCCATTTAATTTATGAACTGAAAAATATCTTTGAATTGTCTTTTGGAACCCCTGTGAAATTGGGGCAGTTCCACAGCTGCTTTCTGTCCTTATCTCTGTCTGTTGTATACCCAGCCTGAATACATGGTTGTGTTTCAGTGAACCTCAGTATTGAGGTGGTGATTTTACCATTCTATGATGTTTTCAGATAACTGACACCAAAATAACCCCGAGTTCTGCAGCCTAGTAGACTCATCAGCTAAGTAACCATTTGCTTGTTGACCTGTGATTCCACAGTTCCTCATTTCAGGGACTCAGGATTGCTTCCATTTCGTTATTTTGCCATTCTGTCCGAAACCCCTGGCTCACAGAGGCTAAGCATTCTACTCACAAATCCCTACCAGCAACCTGTCTTCTAGTTTACACTGTGAGTCTGGAAGATGCCCTTAGTGTTTGGTGCCATAGTTTTCATAGTTTTTTTTTTTTTTTTTTTTTTTTTTGCAAATGTAGTCATGCTAACTGTTTTGAGGGCATAAGCCTGAGCCTTCGAGGCCCTAACAACTAGACTCAGTCTCCTGTTGACAGCATGCCAGCTAACAAAGAAACAGCAGTAAAAAGCACAGAAAGGAAATTCTGTTGGTGTCCTCACATTGAGAAGAGGATCCGAGAGAGGTCCAGTGACTAGCAGGTCCATTGTTGGTGTTCGTACATGTGGGTAGGTTTGAACAGAGAATAAGAGCATAACAACTTCGCCAAGCAGTCCTGGTCAAGGTATGCTCCTGCCTTGTTTGGGCTTAATCTGTCCTGAGTGCTCTGGCAATTTGTCAAAATGTGTGAAGTTCCTTCCCAGGAACCTGTTCCCCTCCTGGCTCGCACTTTGGACTTTAGGTATGCATCCCCTTCCCTAGCATGAGATTTCTGGGGAAATAGCAATTCCTTGGGGCCAGTATTTGAATGGTCTCATAGGTAGTGAGTGAGAGGCACTTTATTTTTGTTGGAACACTTAAATCATTAACACCTTTTGTTTACTTGGATGATTTTCAGAGAGTTCTATATTTTATAGCAGAATTTCAGAAATTTTGTTTTCACTTTAAGGATACATTTATAAGGTTTAGGTGAGGAGGAGGTTGACTGAGCATTCTCAATCTAATAAGAGTTGACTCCATCACTAGTGACCTTAGAACCTTGGTGTGTTAAATAAGACTCTGGAACCAAGGTTTCAAGACAGAACAACATTGTTGACTGCATATGTCTCCTGAACTCTGTTTCTATAATTACTGTATAGTAAGCATTAGGCCTTGGGTAAAACCTTTATAATTATTTATTTGGTAATGATTTGTTGAAAAGGCCAGGAAGAAAGTGACTGCTAGTTTGTAAAATATCTTGAGCATAGAAAGGGGGAAAATACTGATCATAAAAACATTGTTTTCATTATTTGATTTAGTTTTCTTTTGATATGATCAGTTTTTAGAAGTTTGTACTGTTTCTTTGATATTTAAAAGAAGACATCAAGATGTGTACATGTAGACTTTTAGTTCCTGATACTGTATCAACTTGTTGGAGCCTAACCTTTCTTTGTGTTGTATCCTCAGCATTGGTTCCTTAGTGTGCAATGAAATTGGAGTTACTGATCTCCGCTGTGTGCTGTTAGGTCTTATAAACATCCCTGTCCAAGACCTCATTCATATCTCCCCACCCCATTCAACAAAGTTCCTCATTTCATATACTCTGTTTTTGTTTCTCAACAGTCTATTAATTAGTTCTTCAGCACTTTGTTTAGTTTGGTGCACATATGCATACAGTTACTCTATGTAGATTCAGCAAAAGACGAAGAGTACAATTTTGGGGTGGGTGGTCACAAAAGACTTTCATGTGTGCACGACAAGCAGAAACAGAGAGATTTCCCAGTGTGCACACCCTGGGAAGAGAGCTGTGGAGAGGTCCAGAGCTAAGCCATGTGTTTAGAGCACTACCGTGAGCTTTAGGTGGAGGGATTGGTGTAAGGAAGGAGGTGACTAAAGGTCAACAGTTCATTGTCTTAGCTCGGGTTGATCTTGAAGAAGTCTCTTGCTTTCAGGATTGGGGTGATTACCAGGATAGGGTTACTTCTGCTCCATGGGGCTGTCCTGTGAGGATACGCTGTCCTGGGTATCCACTGTGACACAGCAGAAAGGTGAAAGACATGACTTATCTATGCTATCCATCATTAAGGAGATGAGATAAATTATACAAAGATTCCTGACAAGGTAAGCAGGTAACCCCAAATAAAGGAGACAAATAAAATCAAAGTAGAGAAGCCAGGCTTTTATCCCGAATTGAGGTAACCTTGAAGCCCAAGTAAAGAGTAGATGCTTTTTAGAAAGGTGGTTTCTATGTGCCTGTTACAACTATCCCCGTGTGTATTAATACTCTCAATCTTTAAGAGCTAGGGTATTGGCTAGTCTAACCTTACAGATTGCCAGTGCAAGTGATAAAAGAGTATCTGTGAAAGGGCAGACCCTAATGACAGAGCATGTAAGTGAACAGAGCAGGGTGTGTATGCCTCAAAATAGGAGTGCCATTGTAGAGCAGAGCCCAGGAAAATGGAGTCACACTTGTTAAAAGCACTGTGGGTGTGAATTCTAGTAAAAGGAACTTAGTGTCAGGTAACCGTGCATAAGATCCATTTTTCCATAACTTACTGGCTGTAGTTACACGTAGAAGGGTTAACACAAGTGACTTCAAGACAAGGTTTTGCTGTGTAGCCTGGGCTGGCCTCAACCTCATGATTCTTCCCTTTTAGCCTCCCAAGTGTTACCATGCCATTTTATTCTGATACCCGTCCCTACACCCCTTGTCTCTGAACCACTTTCTCTTACATTGTTGATTAACTATCATATGGTTTGGTTTTTTTCAACCCTCTTCACCAGAATGGACTTTATCTTGGTTGGCTTGATTTGGTTCCCATGTATAGGGAGAAGGGACAGATGACAACGAGTTAATACAAAACCCTTTTTGGCTAAATTCAGGCAATTTAAGTATAGAATGAGTAGACAGTGCCTACTTGGAGTACTTCCTTAAGTTTAATTGTCTGTCCTGTGGGTGATGTCCTAGCATCCCCAAAAATATACCTCAAGTGATTTTGTTAGAAGTTGTACTTTGGCACAATGCACATTGGATTTTATGCATTTCTAAAACCAGCTTTGTTTTTTTTTTTAAACAGATAAGTGTAAAGCAGGAAATTACTTTTACTGATGTATCTGAGCAACTGATGAGAGACAAAAAGCAAGTCAGAGAGCCAGTAGACTTACAGAAAAAGAAGAAGCGGAAACAACGCTCTCCTGCAAAAGTAAGAGAATATGTTAAGGTGTCGTCACTAGCCTTTTCATTTTAAACTGTTGGCTTCTCTTGTGGGCAGGAACCTGTTTGGACCTGAAGCCAGACGCAGAAGTCTTAACACGGTTTAGTACAGTTGGTGTGCTACACCAGCTCCTGCAGGAGGCATAGAGAAAAGAGATGCATACCTATGTGGATGGGGTGGGCCATGACTTTTAATCCACCCCCCCCTTTTTTATACTAAAAACGAGCTTCTGTCTTTCTATGTTTCCCTTGTATTTAAAAACTAACAGGATTTGTAGGTTCTTGCTTGTCATTCATATTTTAATACAAGTGTTAATGTTTCATGAAAGTTTACTCAAATTGATTATTCATCAGAGATATCTTTAATAGAATGTACATTCCCTGGGGGCAGAGACCTCATTTTATCACAGCTGTATCCAGGACCTGAAGGGGGAGGCTAAATGAAACCTTAAAATTTTGTGATGCAAGGAATGGATTGGTAATAAATGCTATTAGGAGTTGGTCTGCTTTTATGTTTTTTTTCCTCCTGCAGTGGCAGTGTCTTGATGTTCAGTAGTATGTATCATTGGCAATTTATCTTCATAGTTATTTCTTACAACTTTTACCCTATGTAGTAAAGAAGCTACCCCTCCACCCCCCCCTTTTTTATGCAGCTAATAAAGTTGCTTTAAAAACCTTATGGAGTTGGAATGTAGCACAATCGTATAAGGTTTTTAAAGCATTTTTATTAGCTGCATAATGTATCATTTTGACAAGATCATGTTCTAATTAATGATTGTTTTGTTGAGCATTGCTATGTTGTTGCATTCTTTTTCATTTTAAGTCAATGCTGTACATTTATCATTGTGTTATGAAGTCAAAGGGTATACACTCGCTTTTCAGAATCATTATATCTAACCATGTGTCTCTGACTGCATCCTTGAGAGTTTGAAGGATCAGGCTTGGCCTTCTATAGCTCCCACAAGAGACACTGTAGTTGGAATCCTATTTCTTCAGTTTTGGGTCATACTGAGTTCATATTTCTCATTTGTGTGACATTTGTGTTTCACATTTTATGGAATCCTTTTTTCACCCCCACCCCCTTCTTGTTTGTAGTCTTACTGTTTTTTTCGTGATTAATGTGATTTGCTTTTATTGTTACTGGTTTTTACATCAACAAATCAAATTCCTCAGAGTAATTCCATGGTCTGTGAAAAATTAATTTCTTTTTTTTTTTTCTTTTGGTTTTTCAAGACGGGGTTTCTCTGTATTGTTTTGGAGGCTATCCTGGAACTCACTCTGTAGACCAGGCTGGTCTCAAACTCACAGAGATCCTCCTGCCTCTGCCTCCCGAGTGCTGGAATTAAGGGCGTGCACCACCAACGCCCAGTGAAAAATTAATTTATAAAACTGTAATGATGGGTTGATTGTGCTACTTTGTGCTCACTGTTTACATGTGGGTAATCTATTATAAGAATTAAGGTTTATTTATTTTGTATTGTAATCATATTAGTGTTTTGCCTGCATGTATGTCTGTCTGTACACCACATGCATGCCTGGTGCCTGCATAGGCCAGAAAAGGGCATTAGAGCTGCTGAACTTGGAGTTACATGTGGTTGTGAGCCACCATGTGAACACCAAGAACTGAACCCAGGTCTTCTGGAAGAGCAGCTATTGCTCTTAACCTGAGCCATCTCTTTAGGCCTGCTGTTATATGTTTTCCTAGATATTTTATTATCATGTTTTCTGGTGCTATTCTGTAATTTATTAATTTTTTAAAAATTAGTTTAATTTATTTTTTGTGTAGGAGTGTTTTGCCTGAGTGTATGTGTGTGCATTACCTGTATGCTTGGTGTTAATGGACAGAAGAGGGCATTGAATCCGAACCATCATATGGGTCCTGGGAACCAAACCCAGGTCCTTTGCAAGAGCTGCAAGTACTGTAACTACCTAGCTATCTCTTCAGCCTATTATTATTGTTGTTGTGGTGGCTTTTTTGAGACAGGGTTTTTTTTGTAACAGCCTTGGCTAACCTAGAACTAGCTTTGTAGACCAGGCTGGTCTCAAACTCACAGAGATCCACATTCCTCTGTCTCATGAGTGTTGGAATTAAAGGGGTGCACCAGCACACCTGGCTCTGTGTGTGTGTGTGGGGGGGGGTGTGGATGTGTGGTGTGTATGCTCTTCCAGGACAGAAAAGGATATTAGATTCTCTTCCACTGGAGTTGGCTACCTGCTCACAACTGGGAATCAAACCCAGGCCCTCTGTAAGAATGGGATATGCGTTTAACTACTTAATCCTCCAGCCCCACCTTGATGCCTTCTGACGTTCTCACTGAGTCCTAGATTATTACTGTCCAGTAGAGGATTACCCAGAACCCTTTTGGTTATGTGCTCTCTAGGCATTGGTGGGTGTGAGGAGGGTGCTGAGGATCAAACCCAAGTGCTGGAATTAAAGGTGTGCACCACCACTGCCTGGTGAGGCATTTTTAATACACATCGTATATTCAGAATTTGCTTGTCTAAGTCAATTCTTTGAAGATTTCTAAAAGCACCACCAAGGTATTCTGTCCCAATCAATGTAGTGGCCAGGGAGACAATCTATTCTAAGTGCATAAGAGAGCATTTCAGGACAGGCCCTTCCGGAGTTCTTAGAGCAGCAAGGTCCTATAAATAGTATAGATAGAGCAGACACAAATGAGAAGAACAGAAGTAGCCACTTTAAGACTGTTCACAGCAGTTGGGCCATGGTAGTGCACACCTTTGATCCCTGCACTCTGGGAAGGGGGCACAAGAGTAGGTGGATCTCTGAATTCAAGGCCAGCCTGGTCCACAGAGCAAGTTCTGGTACAGCCAGGACTGTTGCACATAGAAAGTCTGTTTCAAAAAACCAAACCAAACCAACCAAACAAAACCCCCCCAAAAAAAAACAAAAAACAAACAAACAAAAAAAACCCAACTTGTTCATAGCAGGGCATGATGGCATATGACTCTAACCCCAGCACTTGGGAGTCAGAGGCAGACAGATTTCTGAGTTTGAGGCCAGCCTGGTCTATAGAGTGGGTTCAAGGACATCCAGGGCTATGTAGAGACCCTGTCTTAAGAAAAGAGCAAAAGCAAAGTTGTTCTTACATGTTAGTATAGTGGGCAGAGAGAAGTGTGGCTAATTTTTACATTGATCTACAGTTTCCTAGTTGAGTGGTTTCTTTGTGTTAGTGTGTTAGTGCCATACTTCAGATATTTCATCGAAATAACTTATTCTGCCATTTTCACATGAAGACAGATAAGGCTATCTTCGAATTATAGTTTATAAGTCAATGTGTTGATTATCTGAAGTTTTTAAAAAATTTTAAATTTCTCAAAGTTTGAGGTATAATATATGCTACGATAGTATGTAGACTTTGAGGAAAGTTGTCAAAAGGTGGAATGTTGGGGAGTAATATGTAGTAGATGGTGTGAGAACTAGAATTCATTAGCTTTGGAGGGCTAATCTCCCTCAACACCTTTTCCAGACCTCGTTCGTTGCCCATCACCAATATCTTTAGTATATGTGTTGTCAGATGGGATCTGAAGAGGAAATAGAACCAAAGTAACGTGATGGGACTCGGGTGAGCAGACAAGAGCTCCATCACACTAGCTGTGGTGGTGCATTGCACTGCAGACAGCAAACAGTATTTATGTCTGAACTTTTGTCATCTTAAAGTAGATGAAATGCTTTGTAACTGAGTTGGGGGACTATTATCTGGAATAAGGTATTTTCTCTATTGTGAAATAATTTGTTAATGAAAATTGAAGAAATTGTAGTCCCTTGTTTCTTTCAAATGTCACATTTCTTCTTTGGGTGAGGGGTGTAGAGGGCTGCTTTGATTGAAGTAGACTGGGTTGAACCCCAGAGTTTCATGTATGCCAACCAAATAAGTGTCCTACTATTGAAGCACCTACTATACTCCCAACCCAAATACAATTTCATTTTTAACCAAAATAGTACTTTTAATCATAAATCACCCTTTGATATCTCAGTGCTGACATAATAAACCTTTTAAAATTGCATGTGTAGTAAAACAGCCCCATGGGAAGACTGATCTTTCCCCTCACAGTGGAGATGTGAGCATTGGACTGGAAGTGTTCTTGTTGACTGCTTCTGATGGCTTCACTGTCTCGTTCCTAAGGACAGGCTACTCATTGTTACCTTGATGTATCAGTGGGCTACTTGCATCACTTTGTTTTGCCTCTTTAAGTCTGCCATTGTTCTGTATTATAGATAGCTAAGTTATTAGAAGCCTGTGAAGTCTGTGTAAATGGGATCCGGTCTCAGTGTATTATATCAGTGGTGGTTCTCCCACCTACCAGGCTCTGTGTTGGTTGCCTATGGTACATTTTCCAGCTGTAGACATCTAGGGTTCATCTATGAAGACTCTTACTTGCGAACATGTGTATACTTGAAAAGAACATCAGGTGACAGTGGTGCACATGTCATCTGAAGACCTTACGTCTTGATGGTGTTGCCACTAGACTTTGCCATTTCCATTGACCTTCATGAGGCATTTTCCAGCTCAAAAAGAATTTTATGATTGTTTCCTTTTAAAATTCATGAATTCTAAGAAAGTTTTTAAAAATAAAATTGAATATTCTTGTAATCAGGTAGTATATATAAACAATTGCTAGACTTTCCAAACCCTTTCGTAATCAACCAAGAAAAGACAGCGTGGTTTTAAGTCTATTCTGTAGTATTTCTCCCTTTCATTTAACAAACAAATTGAGTGCCCAGTCTCTTGATAAGAGCCAAGGAAAGGAAGTAGGTTGTTATTAGAGCCTTTTAGGAGATCTTATAAGAACTGATTGTTCAGAGTGGTGCTGAACTCTAGAAGGATGATGTATTACATACACAGATTATGAACCAAATGTCATCTCCCAGCAGTTTAGTATGTACCACTGACCCCAGAGGAGAGTTAAGATTTGGGATAAAAAAGATTTAAGATAATGATTATTAAATGAGAAAAATTATCATCA